ACTGTGTACTCTAAGCCTCACATCCTCTAGCTTGTATCGAATCTCTAATCTACTGTGTACTCTAAGCCTCACATCCTCTAGCTTGTATCAAATCTCGAATATACTATGTACTCTAAGCTTCACATCCTCTAGCTTGTATCGAATCTCTAATCTACTGTGTACTCTAAGCCTCACATCCTCTAGCTTGTATCAAATCTCGAATATACTATGTACTCTAAGCTTCACATCCTCTAGCTTGTATCGAATCTCTAATCTACTGTGTACTCTAAGCCTCACATCCTGCAGCTTGTATCAAATCTCGAATATACTGTTGCGTCAGCGAGGTCACGTGACTAGTGTCACGCCCCCTGCTTTCTGGAAATATCTTGTACCTTCGTGAATTGTCGGGAGATTACTAGATATAGGCTAGTCTGGTATATATATAAGAGGGTGACGGCGTGACGCAATAATGTGTGTGCAGGTAATGAGTAATTGAACTGCAGTCAGAGAGAGACCTATTGTTGACGTTAACGTTCGTTCGTTATAGTGTTTGTTTTAGCGCGAATATTGAAATTAAGTGTATCATAAAGTTATATTCGGAAAGAATAAACCAGTTTTATTAAGTAAAGACTTGTGTCGCTAAAGTTTCGTCGGAACGAAGTTACGGAAAGTTAATTAACAAACGGAGTCGTAACAATACTATGTACTTTAAGCCTCTCATCCTCTAGCTTGTGTCGATTCTGTAATCTACTTTGTATTCTAAGCCTCACATCCTCTAGTTTGTATCGAATCTCTGATCTACTGTGTACTCTAAGCCTCACATCTTCTAACTTGTATCGGTTCTATAATATACTGTGTACTTTAAGCCTCTCATCCTCTAGCTTGTGTCGATTCTGTAATCTACTGTGTACTCTGAGCCTCACATCCTCTAGCTTGTATAGATTCTGTAATCTACTTTTTACTCTAAGCCTCACATCCTCGAGCTTGTATCGAATCTCTTATCTACTGTGTACTCAAAACCTCACATCCTCTAGCTTCTATCGGTTCTGTAATCTACTGTGTACTCCAAGCCTCACACCCTCTAGCTTGTATCGGTTCTGTAATCTATTGTGTACTCAAAGCCTTACTTTATTGAGGCAGTGGAGATTTGACATAGTGTGATAGGCGTGGCTTCATTTTCAAGAACTTCTCGAAATTTAGCAAACGATTTAGCTTAGAGTATAAAATGATCAAATATTCAGTTTGTATTGTTACGTCTCCGTTCGTTAGTTAATTTTCCATAAATTCGTTCCGACGAAACTTTAGCGACACAAGTCCTTTCTTAAATAAAACTGGTTTATTCTTTCTGAATATAACTTTGCGATACACTTAATTTCAACAGTCGCGCTATAATTCTCAACGAACTTCTCACGAGCTCGACTTCAACAATACTCAGTTCAATTACACACTCTCTGACTGCAGTTCAATTACTCATTGTCCCGTCACGTTGTGACCGTCTTATATATACCAGACTACCCCCAGTCTAGTAGTCTCCCGATAATTCACGAAGGTTCGAGAAGGAGGTGGCGTGATACTAGTCACGTGACCTCGCTGACGCAACAGTATTTTGAAGAAAAAATCGATATTCGAGAAAGTGCCTTACGTGTACGAGTTAAATTAGCAAGCAAGTAAAATTCTTGTATTAGCGTCTGCTGTGAATTTAAACCTATCATTGGACATTAATTACGGTAACTATTAGAGCTGGTGATGAAAAAAATAAAACGTTTTCTTTCTATCATTAAGCTGACCGCACTTTACATTATTCTTTTGTACCAAATAATCCAACACATTCTGATAACAGTAATCCCCTTCAAATCTTGGGCTACCCTAATCGTGTAGTGGGATTTTACAGTCACTCTTGTAAAGTATTCCCGGTCCAGAATTGCGAATCTCGATTTTACGGTAACGGGACGAGAGCCATGGACCTTCGAATTCACAGTCCGGGACGCTAACAACTAGCCCACGTATGACCCTAATCTAAAACAACACGACCAATAAAAGAAACTATTACAACAGATATAACTAGTTGTTTTATCCGTGAGATTAAGGAAACAGACAGATTGACTTAAAGAAATACTTATATGACTTGGTAGCACAGTCAAAAGTTCAAATAATATATCAAATTTTGGAACAATTTTCTAAGCGAAAACTAACTCTTTATGGATTAATATGTCCCTGCATATACTTCTGATGATAAGTGTTACATGTATATCGGTGCTGAAGTCAAGTGATGACGTGTTAACGTACACTAAAAAACGATACCCTTAAGCGTTCGAGGACATTCTATTTTAATATTTCGTGACCCGTGGTCGAAGTTAGTTTATGATAGCGTGATCAAAGTACGTGCTTTGCAGCATAATTATTCAAATAAGTCGCATTATAGGTAAGCTCAAAACACAATTCTTGTTATTATTATGGTAACATTAAGTCCTCAACTAGCCCCTAAAATTATGATACAAGTAACTGTTTATTGAGATGAATCGAGAAAGCAGGTAATATACACTGAAAACTATAAATAATCTTACATATATTTGTATTATTTATGCTATATAGTAATATACTTTGGGGGAAAACGGATGTCAGTATGTCGGGTTTGAACTAAGCTGAAACATTTTTTTTCTCACGGTCAGCTCTACATAGCTCTGTCTAGGGTACGGTCATTTGATCTCTTAAAAATTTATGTCTATGAAGATGCAAATATTGAAAATATTGTTTACGTGGAACTCTTGTTATATAAATTCGATAATCCCTAGTTTTTTTACAGTGGCTTGAAGCACTACAACTGTGTATATTGTTTTATTTACAGTGGCTTGAAGCCCTACAACTGTGAATATTGTTTTATTTACAGTGGCTTGAAGCCCTACAACTGTGTATATTGTTTTATTTACAGTGGCTTGAAGCACTACAACTCTATATATTGTTTTATTTACAGTGGCTTGAAGCACTACAACTCTATATATTGTTTTATATACAGTGGTTTTACAACTCTGTATATTTTTTCGAATTTCGACTACTAGCAAAATAATAATTTCATTTCGAAAAAACGAATGTCTGTACGTCCATTGTGAAAGAATATAAAGAAGAGGATAAAAAATAAATATGCCAAAGATAATAATATGTGTAGGTGTGAGGCCTACTAAGAACATCTTAGTATCATAAATTTAACAAAAACTTCTCTCTGCTGCAAAATTTTTAAATTATAGTTTTCATCTAATGCTGTAAAATCAAAATGATTTTTAGAAGCCAATTTTCAAAGTATTCCGTATGTAGTTTTGTACTGATAAAAAATAAACAACTTACCACTAGAAAATATGAGAAAGAAGTTACATTGCTTTATGACAAAATATGAGATTGGACACTCTCTCTCTGTTAACGGTGTTTGGGTTGGGTACTCTCTCCTTTAACGATGTTTCAGTTGGATACTCTCTCTGTCAACGGTGTTTGGGTTGGGTACTCTCTCTGTTGACTATGTTTGAGTTGGATACTCTCTCTGTTAACGGTGTTTGGGTTGGGTACTCTCTCTGTTGACTATGTTTGAGTTGGGTACTCTCTCTGTTAACGGTGTTTGGGTTGGGTACTCTCTCTGTTAACTATGTTTGAGTTGGGTATTCTCTCTGTTAACGGTGTTTGAGTTGGGTACTCTCTTTTAACGGTGTTTGGGTTGGGTACTCTCTGTTAACGGTATTTGGGTTGGGTACTCTCTCTGTTAACGGTGTTTGGATTAGGTATTCTCTGTTAACTATGTTTGAGTTGGGTATTCTCTCTGTTAACGGTGTTTGAGTTGGGTACTCTCTCTCTTTTAACGATGTTTCAGTTGGATACTCTCTCTGTTAACGGTGTGTGGGTTGGGTACTCTCTCTGTAAACGATGTTTGAGTTGGATGCTCTCTCTGTTAACGGTGTTTGGGTTGGGTACTTTCTGTTAACGGTGTTTGGGTTGGGTACTCTCTGTTAACGGTATTTGGGTTGAGTACTCTCTCTGTTAACGATGTTTGAGTTGGATACTTTCTCTGTTAACGGTGTTTGGATTAGGTATTCTCTGTTAACGGTGTTTGGGTTGGGTACTCTGTTAACGGTATTTGGGTTGGGCACTCTTTCTGTTAACGGTGTTTGGGTGAGTACTCTCCCTGTTAAAGGTGTTTGGCTTGAGTATTATCTCTGTTTACGGTGTTTGGGTTGGTTAATCTCTCTGTAAACGGTGTTTGGGTTGGGTACTCTCTCTGTTAAAGAATTTTGGTTTGTGCACTCTCGGTATTACCGGTGCTGTCAACCGGAAACCGGTTATTAACAAGTTAGGCTTAGCATGGTTATAAAACTTAGTTAAACATAGCCAAGTATTGTGACTGGCAATTAATATAAGCGAGTTGTTTGAACTTAAATAAAAATGTTTTTATAATACAGTAGTTGTTCATATAAAACGTGTTCTACAGATCCAGGACAACTGTAAAGTGTGTGTGTGGTGGGGGGAGAGTAATAGTAATCAAAGCCACAAAACTAGTAATAAAAACATTAGTGTAAGAAATACTCGCTTTAATGAGAAATGTCAAAATTACACCTGACGTAGAAACTAGAAAAGATGCAGTTTTAGAGATGAATGATAGTGTTACGTCTCTGTTCGTTTGTTAATTTTCCGTAAAACTTCTTTCCGAAGAAACTTTAGCGATACAAGTCCTTTCTTAAATAAAACTAGTTTATTCTTTCTCAATACAACTTTGCAATACACTTAATTTCCACGGTCAGTTTAACTTAAACAAACGCTATAATTCACAACGAACGATTCACGCACTACCGCGCTTGACTCAATTATCCATCTCTACGGACTTATATACAAGAATAGAGGGCACCTAGAGCCTTCTGGAACCTTCTAGATACTCATTACGTGTTACCAGCGTCATGTGACTTCCGCTGTCGTAACAATAGCGATAATAATACCCAACTGGTGTTGGGGATATCTTGTCCCTTCAGTAATTGAAAGTAATTGAAAATAACGGTGGTAACATTACACGGTTGCTGCAATGGCTCTCCCTAGAACTCAATTCCAGAAACTAGTGGAATGCGCTCTCTTTCATACCTTGTGCAAGAAAGCATATTTTTCGTCTGTGTGTCACGTGGTTTGACCTACAGAGTGTTCGAGATATCACACTCGCCTAATACCCAATCTGTATATTATGAAATAAAAACTGGAACTTACTTCTCTCGTCCCTACAATCTGTGATAAACTAATTATTACTCCTGTACATAATTTACTCTATTTTTAATATTATAATATTGTGCTTAATAAGAGGTCACCGGATTTAATTTGTTTGTTTGTTTGTTTTGAATTTCGCGCAAAGCTACAAGAGGGCTATCTGCGCTAGCCGTCCCTAATTTAACAGTGTAAGACTAGAGGGAAGGCAGCTAGTCATCACCACCCACCGCCAACTTTTGGGCTACTCTTTTACCAACGAATAGTGGGATTGACCGTCACATTATAACGCCCCCACGGCTGAAAGGGCGAGCATGTTTGGTGTGACGGGGATTCGAACCCGCGACCATCAGATTGCGAGTCGAGCGCCCTAACCACCTGGCCATGCCGGGCCCCAGATTTAATAACCCAAAATCTGTGAAATAAAATCTATCTTGACCAGTCCCCACGAATGTCCATCAGTAGCTTCAATCTCACCGTACATATCATACTCCTGTTCAAATATGACTAATTTCGCTAATATTTTCATTGTCCTTGTAAGGTGTACAAGTCAAATGACCTTTTTTTTTATCCAAAACCCTTACTTTTTTTAAGAATTCTGAAATCGTAAAACCCAAAAGTGTTTCTACCGTTCATGTATTTGTGTTTAAGCACAAAGCTACACAATGGGCTATATGCAATGTGTCCACTACGGGTATCGAAACTCGCTTTGTAGCGTGTGAGTCGTCAAGCTTATCGCTGAGTCATTGGGTGGAGGGGCTGCTTTTTACCAATTTCATATTTTGAACTGTGCTTTAGTTTTGCTTTTCCGTTGTATAATAATTAATTAATTTTTTTTCACAATTTGCTGCCGAACTCTTGAAATACGGTAAGTGGATGCATACTTGCAAATTACTACTTTCTGCTTTTTAGTATAAAAGGTTTGGTTCGGCAAAGTTATTATTTTTGCAAACATTAACTGAACCCCTCCTCTACCCATATATGTATGTCATAGCTTTGTGTAACACAGCTTTTGACAATCACACTGTTTGTATTATTCAATACAATTTCCTATATATTCCTTGTAACACAACAGGTATTATTTCAACATTCTTTCTAACCTTATTAAACCCATCATTCTTTATAGCTAGCCTTGCCCAACTCGCCAAATATGACGGATTGGGGTTTTGTAACCTCCCTCCACAGGGCCCCGCCCTTCCTTCATCGAGTATTGTTAACTAAATTTCGTCCTTCAATATAAAAGAAAAACAATTCCACATTGAGAAAGTAAAAAAACACATTTCAAGTACATTCTCAAAAAATAAATAAAATAGTGAAAAAAATAAGTTACAAGCGACTCATAAAACTAGATTTACACACAAAATGACAACTGGCTTTTATATACATTAAGTTTCAATCAGCTGAGAAATTGTAATATCACGCACACGTTTACGACCTTTATATAAATTTATTAAAATAATTTCAAACTCTAATCTTATTTTTTGTTACCCTTCATTTTTTTATCCACATTATGACTTTATCACAAATCCATCGATATTTCATACGTAACAGAACGTATTTTTTAATTACGTCATATAACCCAAAATTACGGTTTAAACATCCAAAACCAATAGGCCTAAGGTTTATGATAGAACTCTATCACAAAGTTAACACCTAAATATTAATTTCAAGTACCATCGTTAATAAGGACTAATGACGGTAAATTTGGGAGAAAGTAAGATAAAAAGATGTTTTATCCAAAAAAGTAATAATAAAACTGAAAAAATTCACGTACGCTTAATAAAATAATCGAATTATGGTCACTTCGAAGTGTCTACGTCAAGCTAAGTATTAGCATATATTAAAACATGAAAAGCGCCGAAATGAGTAAAATTCAAGCCAGCCCTCGTGAACGTTCGAAGTATTATATACATACGTAAGACAACAATATCAGGTCATAGTTTTGTTGCTAAGCGACACAGACGAATGGTGTGTTACCGAAAACAACTGGCTTTTATATACATAGTTGTCCAAAAGTAGTTATACAGTTGCATATGTCGAATAATTGAATTGTTTTGAGTTGCAGAATTTATTGAGTAGCAATTGTCTTGATGAAAATTTTCCTCAGGGATGGATAGGCCGCAGAGGCGTAGTCGAGTTGCCTCCATGGTCAACGGACTGTACCCCCATGGCCTTTTTCTTCTGGGGAGTACTCAGGAC